GAGAGAGAGAGAGAGAGAGAGAGATTGACAGAGAACATGAGCAGGGGAGGGTCAGAGAGAGAGGGAGAGAGAGAATCCCAGGCAGGTACCACAATATCAACGCAGAGCCCGATGCAGGGCTTGAACTCACGAACCATGAGGTCATGACCTGAGCTAAAATCAAGAGTCAGACACTTAAACGACTGAGCCACCCAGATGCTCCGAGAATTCTCAGATTCTTAAATTCCACTGTAGTATGTAATTTTTCTGCTTTTATATTCTATAAGACAGAGATGATAATAATTAATAATAATAACAATAATGTTTTCCTCACAGAGTGGATATGGACATTCAATGAGCTCTTCCTTAAAATAAAACCAGCCATGGTGCCCTGAGCTGAGAACCAGAAAGGTTGCTGGGCTCATTTGCTAGCTAAGTGACTCCCTCTCTCTCTACAGTCTTGCAGCAAGATTAAAATCCTCACAAGGAAGACAAATTACTGCATGTTGTGGACCTTCTGTATTGTTTGCAAAAATAGTTACAGCTTCAGGTATTCTATCTGGGAGACATGCTAAATGTCTGCTGTACACGATCTTGCTTTTCATTTAATTATCTCAAGAACTCCATAGGTAAATACTATCATCGCTAATTTTTGAGATAAGAGCCCTGAAACTCAGAGAGATTAAAAACTTGTCCCACTTGCTCAGCTGATAAGTAGAAGAGTGAGGATTCGACCCCCCGCCTGTCTAAATACAAACTCTGCTTTCTCCTGTATTCATCAGCCATGTGAACTTGATTCCGTCCTGTAACATCTCTGAGCATTGCTATCCTCATCTGTAGACAGGAGTCACAATAACCTCAGAGAGGTTTTATGAGGAGCCGAAGGGACCACAGAAAGTTTTGTAAACTACAAATAGCAATGTAGACGGAAGGTGGCATTATTATTAGTATTACTATTCTGCTGACTTCCTTGTTGCAGAGTAATTTCCAGTTACTGAATATCTAATGGGATCTGATCTCTACCACTCCCCATGACACTGTCTGCCAGGCTTTTTAACAAGGAGCTATCAGATGTCGGTCACCTCAAGATTTCAAGAAGCAAAGGCACCAAAGACTGAGTGAATGAATGATGAGAAACCAAGATTTCTGTACGGTTGCTGAGGGGGCACACAGGATTCCCATAATCGTGTGGCCAGAATGAAATCCTATTCAACCCTCATTTGGATGATCAATCCTCCCACTCTGGGAGGCAGCCAGAGGGATGCTTTCCATTTTATAAATGGAAAAGAATCTTCCAGAGAGGCAATGTTAACCCAAGGTCACGAGAGCCATTGGCAACAGAATCAAGGCCGAAGTGACTAGCCTCTCACATAGGCCAGGACCTCTCTCTCTGGATTATGCCTTTAGAAACAAACTGTTGCCATTCCTAAGAAACTGAAAGTTCTTTATGTTCAGCAAGTTTTAAGTGGGGAGCAAACATATCTGTAAGCAAATTTGTACCTAGCTGAGGCTGAACATTCTCCTATTGGTCTCTGTGGCCTCTGAATAAAGAGGTTGGTATTAGGTGAAAATGTGCTTTCATTACCTCCCTAGAAAATGAGAGGAGAGGGAGGTGTCCCAGGAGTGCACAAGGTGTTGTGAAGGGAGAATGTGGAATAGGCCTGAGAGTCAGGAGGAAGGACAGCCCCTTTGGCAGGAGCCCCTTCTTAGGAATGGCTATCACACACACACACACACACACACACACACCACCACCACCACCACCACCACCACACCACACCTAGAAGCCTGGGGAATATGCCCAGAGAACTCAAGGAGAGGCCGACACTGGTAATCCTTTTTCCATTACAGAGCACAGTCAGTGAGTCCACCTTGATTGCCCTGCTGGCAGCAAGGAAGAACAAAATCCTAGAAATGAAAGCTTCTGAACCTGGGGCAGACGAGTCCTCCCTAAACGCCCGGCTCATTGCCTATGCCTCTGACCAGGTGAGTTGCCCAATACAGGCCAAACCTTGGGGTTAGGGCTTGGATTCTGGAGTCTTAGCTCTTGAGTAATTTTTTTCTAGACCTGAGTATGCTGGAGCTCAGGGCAGTGCAGGCCTTGGAGGTAGTCTCCAGGAACCGAAGGGGAAGACACACAAATGTTAGTTTTGATTTCTTTAGTCTGGCTTCAGCAGTATGTTTTTTGGCAGGGGGACAGGGGGCTGCTCATCCCAGGATGACACTGCTAACAGGTGTCCATGGTCCTAGGCTCACTCATCAGTAGAAAAAGCTGGTTTGATTTCTCTTGTGAAGATGAAATTTCTGCCTGTGGATGACAACTTCTCACTCCGAGGGGAAGCTCTTCAGGAAGCCATCAAAGAGGACAAGGAGAGGGGCTTGGTGCCTGTCTTTGTAAGTCAGAATGTGTTCTAAGCTTAGAATTTTAGAACCTGGAGGTGAGGAAGGAGTATGGGCAGAATTCAGGCAAGTAACCTGCTTCAAAGAAAAGCAGAGATGTTGTCAAATACAATGTTTTACAAATTATGAGTTATTGTTTGTTGGTGTGTTAGGAAATAAATTCTGTGGATCATAACCCACATAAGAAAAAATAAGTAGAATAGAGACTATCTGTAGCCAGAGTATGTATTGTTTGGTGAGACTTTTATTTCAAATACACACATATATATGTACTAGATTGCTTTATAAAATATATTTCTCACTGTGGGTCTTGGTAAAGTGTAATGTGAAATACATACTGTTGAGGTGGGATGGGTGGGGTAGAGAATAACTGTGGTTAGAATCTTTGTTTCAGGCCAAATGTGTCACACGAGCCCACCCTCCCACGTTAACTTCCTTTATTTTCCTTCAGGTGTGTGCAACGCTGGGGACCACAGGGGTCTGTGCATTTGACTGCCTGTCAGAGCTGGGCCCCATCTGTAAGTGTCTGCCCTGTCTGGCTAGGAAAACAAGTAATGAACTTCAGAATGTTCCCTAGAGCAAGAACCCAAAACTAGCTCTGTGGAATGATCCTCCTTGGTCATTGCAGAGAGAGTAAGAAGAGCCACCACAGCTCACAAATGCCTTCTCCTAGGCAGTCAGGTCACAGCTTTCCCCAGTGGTGGGCGAGGGGTTAGAGAGCTGCTCCTCGACCCCTGCCCTGCATCCTGTCAGGAGACAACACTGGGAGGTCTCCAGGTTTTCTTACCCTCTCAGTTGTATGCTGAAATCTACTCAAAGTAAGCTATATGCAAAACCCAGGGTAAATGAGGCACAGTGAAATATTTTCTCTTATAGGCTAAGGAAAGGAAAATGGTAGGCTAGGGGAAGCCATAGGAGAAGATAAAGGCAGAGAAGAGACCTAAAGCAGATTGTTTAAAGTCCCCAAGCAAGAAATCCACTAGGAAAGAGAGACGTCCCCTCTCTAAAGTTGGTGTTAGATGCGTTAACATCTGGGCTGGTGGGAAGTTAGTTTCTGTGCCAGGAACTTCTAGGTTGATGCCAAGAAGATGTCAGCCCTCTGGCCAGTTAGAGAAAAAGGCCAGGTACGGTTCTGTGGACTTTCCCTTTAGGAGGCTCCACTCCCATTGATGTGCCCCCCTGCTCCCATCTCCACATCCTCCAGCCATAGTGGACCATCCCTTCTTCTCTTCTCTTGAAGCCCACCAGCCCCTGCACAGGGAGAGAGATGCCTTTGAGCTGGCTGGTGGCAACCCCTACTCCCACCCCCAGTCCTGCCTCCCAGCCGGGTGACATTTGCTTCCCCAGGTGCCAGTGAGGGGCTGTGGCTCCACATCGATGCTGCCTACGCAGGCACTGCCTTCCTGTGCCCCGAGTTCCGGGGGTTTCTGAAGGGCATCGAGTATGCCGATTCCTTCACCTTTAATCCTTCCAAGTGGATGATGGTGCACTTTGACTGTACTGGGTTCTGGTGAGTGTGACAGCCAAGCTTCTAGCCCATGGGCAAGCCTTGCTTCCTCTGCAGAGGCCTCAGCCACTAATCCCATTTGGAAACCCACAGGGTCAAGGACAAGTACAAGCTGCAGCAGACCTTCAGCGTGAACCCCATCTACCTCAGGCATGCCAACTCGGGCATGGCCACTGACTTCATGGTGAGTGGCCAGGAATGGTGGCCTCTGAGATGGAAACTGGCTGCACCTGGCCCCAGAGGGTCTTTTTTATGTTGGCTCCTGTTTGAAATTAGCACACTGTGAGCCCATCCCATAATATACTGCTGTATGCCTTTGGTTTCTAAGTATATGCAATGAAACCCAGAAAATTGTTAAAAAGCCTAGAAAATGAGACCAACCTCTGAGGCAGTATGCACATTTCCTGAGTATGTGTGGCATTCCTTAATTCCCAGAAATGTCTTTTCTATCATGAGTGGATCAGTTCCCTTCTGTCTCCATCTTGGATAATCTTTTCTGCTTACTGCCCAGCATCGGGGAAGGGTGGAGAGTTTCCTTGGGTAGGGAAAGAGGATCCTTGCTTAAATCGCTTTTATCTCTTGTCCCCTCAGAGACAAGGTGGGAGGCTCCATGGGAGGTGATGGGGCACAGGGACCAAACTTCTTGAGCTCTGTTCGCCTCTGAGCAGTCCTGGCCATCCCAACTAGCTGTACCTTGCTCGGTCTCTTGAACCTGCCCACAGTTTCAGCCTGTACTGACTCTTGTGGAAACAATCTTTTCAGATTTACTCCTCAGTTTGAAGACAAGCCTTTCCTTTAATTGTAGGGAAGACAGAGATGTAAACCAGTTATATATCCGTGGCCAACGGGAGGCAGCAGAGCAGAGAGAGATGAGCTTGGTTTGAAATGCCATGCCAGCAGTGGGCCTTTGAGAAACTTAACGGCCCTCTCTGAGCTGTGGCTTCCTCATCTGTAAAATGGGCACACTGGCACGGATTTGATACGGTATCATCAGGCTGAAATGGGAATGTACATGTAGATCACTTAACACAGTACTGGGAATGTGCCAAATGCTCAATAAACGGTAGGGCTAATATTCCTAAAAACTCTTAAGCTGTAGAGATTTGCTATAGCAAAATGGTTAAGCATTTAGGTGCTAAAGGGTGATGGCCTGTGTTCCTCCTTATTCCTCCTTGTTCCTCCATTTGTTAACTTGTGTGGCCTTAGTCAAATGACTTAACTTCTCTCTCAGGGTTTCCTTATCTGTAAAATGAGGATGATGATAATATTGGCTTCTTAGGCTTGTTGTGAGGATTAAATGAATTAATGCAGTGAGGTGGAGAGAGCAATGCCTGATGTCTGTGAGATTTAGTTTGTAAAGAGATGGTTCTGTCTTGTCTCCTTGGGCAGCTGAGATGTGTTGCCCATTTAGTCCTAAATTAATAGCTCTGTCATCTCCTGATTTTTATTGGTTATTCTCCCTCAGGCCAGTTTACACTTCCTTTAGATTTTTGAGACTGTTGATTGCCATTGCAGGTAGTAAGCTTACAGACCCTGTAGAAGTTGATAAAAATAGACAAATAATGGTTCTTTCATCTCCATTGCCCTGTCTGGTAGGTTTTCAGAAAATTTTAATTAAAAAAAATTTTTTTCCCCCAGCATCCTAAGGGGCAGGTATCTTTAAGGGTAATTCTAAGTTGTTTCTTTCTTGAGTGTGAAATGGTGCCCATCCTCCTATAAGTGAATTTGGATCATAATTGTAGAGTATTATCTTACCTCGGCCCACTTTGGATCTCGTGTTACTTTTTTTGTTTTGTTTTGTCTGTTTGTTCACACCGGTATCTCAAGATGTTCCTGTGGTTCATTCCCATCAGTTTGGAGATTTAATGGTGCTCTCTCTCTTTCAGATAACTTATAAAAATATTGAATTAAACTTTTCTTAGCACTGGTTATTTATATTTCTTAGCCTTATTATTTATATTTCTACATCCAGAAGGTATTGCTGTATCCTTTTCCTTCCCCCACCTCTAACTGTATGGATTTAATTTTCAAGTCTCAAAGAAAGTCCTAGAAAATTGAAGCTTCTGTTTGTTGTGATCCTGGGAGTCTTCACTGCTGTTCTGACCCAAACTCCTTTTCACTCAGGTTGCTGTAGCTTTAAATTGAAGGCCAGCCATGTTTGAGATAAGCCAGAAACAGAGCACCTTCCTGGGAGAGAAGACTTAGGGACTTCATCCTTAGGCCCTGGCACCACCTAAAATTAGGGCTAGATTTTCTGACATCCAGCTCCCACTAGTGGATGGGGCATTATCTTCCTTTGGCAAGGGAGACCTGCAAAACCTTGCAAGGACACAGAGGAGGCTTGGGGATGTCTCGAGTTCAAGAAGATCCATGTCATTCTTTGTAAGTCCAAATTTCCTGCTCTAACAGAAAATATCAGCTAGAACCACCCTGCTGGGTCAGCATGGATTGGGTTTGGAATAATGGCCAGAGGAAAAACCGGGTATACGAAAGAGTATGAAGAAATAAAAATTAAAATTATCTCTGCCTCTCATTAAAAATTATTATTATTATTTTAACATTTATTTATTTTTGAAAGACAGAACGTGAATGGGGGAGGGGTAGAGAGGGAGACACACAGAATCCAAAGCAGGCTCCAGGCTCTGAGCTGTCAGCACAGAGCCCGATGCGGGTCTCGACCCCAAGAACTGGGAGATCATGACCTGAGCCGAAGTTGGATGCTCAACCAATGGAGACATCCAGGCACCCCTCTGCCTCTCATTTTAATTTGCTGGTGAGATAAAGCAGTCAATTGGCCATAACAATTTGAGAAACAATATTTTTAGAGAAGGCTCCTATTATCCATTCATTATTCTCCTAGAGTGTTTATCTAACAAGGGGTATAGAGTTGACTGCTTTCTCTGTCACAGAAATTTTGTCCTGTGTCCAGGTTATGATGCCCTTTTCTGGTGAATGAGTCCCCAAGCCAGTCCTCACCACTAGAATGTTTTGCTTAAAAAACAAAAGGCTTAGTATTTGATGTAGGAGAACCTTGTCCATCAACAAAGGGGGAATGTCCCCAAAGGGAGCGTGCCGGGTCAGGAAATAAGGGTGAACGGTGAAGGTGAGTACAGTTTTGAGGATTTGGCAATCCTGTGGATGAGTAGATAAATACTCAGTGGGACAAATATTTATTTTTAGTCAACAGAAATTATGGTGAAGTATTCTGACATTTACTTTCTGACCATCGGAGGAAGAGGTCATTAGAAACCACCTTACTCATCAGGTTAACTTCCAATGTTTTCCAAACCCACTGGTCTGTTTTCAGATCTGCGAAATCAGTTTGAAATTGGCTTGGTAATGTTTAGATCTATGGTGCCCCCCGAACCTTGAACTTTGAGCTCTGTTGAATTGGTCACCAGGAACAAAGGGTCAATTTTGGTTAAACAGAGGCCGAAATGTGGATGTTCATTTCAAATCTGAAAGCTGGAGTGATGCCTCTTGTGGGCACAGGGGTGTCACAGGATGAGGTCAGGACAAGACAGAGAGGTTAAATACTGATTATCTTGGTCCTAGGCAGAAATCCTGCTGTGATTTGTAGCTCACGTTTTTATCATCTAAAAAGCCAACACTTGCTGACAACTTCCTGCGAGGCTCTTTGCATTGGTTCTTTTCCTGCCTTCGGAAGTGCTGTCCATTCTCTGTCTCACCAGGAGCCAGTGAGGCAGCAATGCCCAAGGTCACAGATAGTAACTGGCAGAGCTGGAGGAGAAACCCAGGTCTGTGGGGCTCTTGCATCCCAGCTCTTGACCACTATACTTTACATTTTACAGGGGGGAATAGAAATAGAACTTTATTCTCTGCACTTCAAGAAACTTAGGTTCTTTTAGAGAAAACATGTATTGCCCCTATCTTGAATTTCAGCCTGAGATGAAATGTTTAAAGCAGCGTTTGAAGGAAAATGCCTTCTCCTTTGTTCAGGGCCATGGACTTGGTTTCCACTTGTCCTGCTCTTGGACAAGGGTAACTACTGGCCACCTTCACCATGACTTGGTCACATGACAGGGCAGCCTTGGGATAATTTGCCTTAGCTTCTCCTTAGCAACAGCTTTGGGAGTCATGGTGACACTTTCTGTCCCTGGAGGTCTGGGCAGGCAGGGGATGATAAATCTGAGGAGTGCATGAGGGAGCAGTGCCCTTGCCTCTAACCATGAGCACTGTGTTCCTTTGTTCTAGCACTGGCAGATCCCCCTGAGCCGGCGGTTTCGTTCTATTAAACTCTGGTTCGTGATTCGGTCCTTTGGGGTGAAGAATCTTCAAGCACACGTCAGACATGTATGTAGTCTTGCTATGTGTCCTCATGGGGAGGAAGGCTGGTTTCTGCCCAGAGGACCTGTGGTGTTGGCTCAGGTGTCTGAGCCTGTTCTTGGACTCCTGAGACTTGATTATTTAGGGTAGCCATTTCTTTGTTAGAGGGACACTGAGCAGAACATGACACCAAGGGCTATCTGCTATCTGTCCCCTTGAATAAGTGTCTCATTATTCCTTCTGCTATCATCAAGCACCTGGGAGTGATGCTCCCAGTGCCTGGTTTGCAGAGAGAGAAAGAGAAAATAAATCACAGGGCAGCTAGTGTGTCTACGGTAGGAGTATATCCTTTTAAGAATTTTCCGATTATCACAGCAGTCTGAAAATTTGAGTCCCTATTATGGTTACACCTGAGACATGGCTCTTCTGGCTGTGAGAGGTAGACCTACCAAGTCTGGAACAAACATCTCTGCATCGTGTCAGTAGGTATTTACTGAAAGTCTATTTGGTACAATTTATTTTGACTCAATTCGAAAACAGCAACAAAAAAATCATTGTGCTAGAAACAAGACCCAGAGGTGAGACAGGCATTGTCTCTCTGTCATATTCTTCATGAAAGGGGTGGGACTTCACTGAGAACTTTGGCCAGCAGTGTTTTTCTCTCATTTCTCTGAGTGCCTATGAGTAAGACAAAGCCATTGGTAAAAGCCACGGCATTAGATAAATCCAAAGACATTGTCTTTATTACTCTGTCCATCTACCTTTCCTTTAGGAATTCCATCTTCATTAAGTAAACACAAAACCAAATAAGATGGTTGAAGCAGTAACAAAGACTTGTTTACTGTTGGTAATTTTACATTTGTACTAAATGTCAAGGTATTTGTCAACTGGACATTTATCAATGAGTGACTGTCACCTAGGATATTGAGGGATGTTAGGCACTTTGTACTCTAAATCCTCAGACCCATGATTGGAGGTAGTGGCTGAGGAATGAAGACGGTGGAGGTTACAAGGCATCAGGAAAACTCTTAGGACTGGGTATTCAATGTGTAGGTGCTGGTCAACTCCCCTGATGCTCCCCTTACATGTTAAAGCTCTGAATTCCCATCAGCTCCCCCACACTCCTAGGCCTGGCTTTCAAGGACCTGGTTATTAGCCTTTATTTTAGCTCAGGCTTCTCAATGACCCATTTCAGCTGTATCCTCAGCCTGCCTCTGCACCTTCACCTTCACTTTGCCCTCCTGGATTGCTCTCTCTTCTCTATATGTTATTAATGGTTTAGGTTCCATTTCTCCCAGGAGCTTTCCTGACTATTCCATCTGTCCCAGTCACTGCTTCCTTGTCATTCCTAAGATCACCTATTCAAGCGCACTTACAAAACTGGGCTCAAAGATTACCAATGTCCCACAACAGTAAGAGGTGGAACTAAAACAGAGTTGTTTGATGTGAGTTAATTTTATTTCTTCAACTTGACTGTGCTCACAATTATGACTTGCATAGCATCTTAAATTTTAAAAATACCTTATAGTGTTTTATTAGATTCTTACAACAATGCTTGGGGTGGTCACCCAGACCGGCCCCATACTGCCCTGCTCAAGAGTGGAAGGTCTTCTCTCTTCACAATTTTGGGCTATCTTCTACTATGTGAGCTCTTGAAGGTTATAGAAAACCAAGTTGTGTATCCCTCTGTAATACAGTAATGCTTTAGAAAATGGAATCTGGGTTTGGTGTTTTAGTTCTACCTACTGTTTGGTGATCTTAGACAATTTACTTAAACTTTCTGTGTTTGGCTTTCTAATTTATAAAATGGGAAATGGTAATACCTCTCTCAGTGGTTTATGGTGATGATTAAATGAGATAATACATATACAGACCTTATTTATAGTACAGGGCCTAATGCTCAGCTAACAGTCGAATATTTTTTTCTTCCCTTCCTCCTCCTTCTCCTACTTCCTCTTCCTTCTCTCCCTTCCTCCTCCATTTCCCCCTTCTTCTAATGACAACATATCATTGTCATCATCATCATCACCAATCATTTACTGTCACCTAGAATTGGTATTAGTAAACTTTTTCTGCAAAAGACACTAAATATTTTTGGCCTTGTAGGCCATACTGTTTCTGTTGCAACTACTCAACTCTGCCATTTTAGCCCAAAAGCCACCATAGACAATACATAAACAAAGGGGCATGGCTATGTTTCAGCAAAGCTTTATTTACAAAAACAGGTTGGGGGATGCTATATTTGGCCTGGGACTATAGTTTGCCCACCCTTGACCTAGAGTGGTTCAGGACACTGGGAGCAGCAGGTTTTTTATTCATCCATAAAGGTGGTTTCTGGTGCAGGGATGCTGTGTGGTTTCCCTTTTCCCTTGGCCCCTGTTTCTACCTTGTTGCGAACAGCTTATGTTGTAGGAAGCAGCAGAGCATGGTGGGAGGAGCATGTGCTTGGTGACCAGGAGACCTGCATTCTGCCACTTGTACCTTGGGGAAGTCATTTTCTGTCAGCCCCTCCTAGGAAAATGAAGAAGTTGGACAAAGATGACTTCTAGGTCTCTTTGCTCAGAAGTGTCAGCTTCATGGTCCTTACCTAGCCTGACTCTAGGTCTGTACCTGAGATGTCTTAATGGTACTCATGTAGAGTTAAGAAACATTTACTTGGAAAGATCAAAATTGGTAGGGCAGGTGGGTGGAAGTTGGCCTGGAGGGGAAGGAGATATGGGAAGAATCCTGGCGAAATTAGAACATGAATTGCAAAAGTATAAAATAGAAAACATTTAGAAAGGTGCCTTCTCTCAGAGCTTTAGGACTTGAAAATGAAAAATTCTTGGGCAGTGATTGGAGACCATTTTATTTTTTAAAAAAAAAATTTTTTTTTTCAACGTTTATTTATTTTTGGGACAGAGAGAGACAGAGCATGAACGGGGGAGGGGCAGAGAGAGAGGGAGACACAGAATCGGAAACAGGCTCCAGGCTCCGAGCCATCAGCCCAGAGCCCGACGCAGGGCTCGAACTCACGGACCGCGAGATCGTGACCTGGCTGAAGTCGGACGCTTAACCGACTGCGCCACCCAGGCGCCCCAAGGAGACCGTTTTAAATAGACTACACAGTGGTCTCTCCCAGAAAGAAAGGGGTCTGGATGAGGTTTGCAGCAACTTGCTTCAACGTGGTCAAAGATGTGCTTAGCTGAATTTTTTGAGTTCTCTTGAAATCAAGTATCAAGTCCGAAAACCAGGTGATTCAATGAGAACCAGGTGATAGCAATTACTTAGCAAATATTTTATTGAGATCCTTCCGGATGCTTGAAGAAATTTTTTAAAATGAAAGAAAAGTTAAGACCTGCCCTTGTTTGGTTAATAATCCTAGGTTATGGGGCACCTGGGTGGCGCAGTCGGTTAAGCGTCCGACTTCAGCCAGGTGGCGATCTCGCGGTCTGGGAGTTCGAGCCCCGCGTCGGGCTCTGGGCTGATGGCTCGGAGCCTGGGGCCTGTTTCCGATTCTGTGTCTCCCTCTCTCTCTCTGCCCCTCCCCCGTTCATGCTCTGTCTCTCTCTGTCCCAAAAATAAATAAAACGTTGAAAAAAAAATTTAAATAATCCTAGGTTAAAAAAAAAAAGGAAACTTAAAAAAAAATGACATAAACTTCAATGAAAGGTTAATATGGTACAAAGCTTTCCATTTTTTTATTGTGGTAAAATACACATAACATAAAAATTTCACTTTAACCATTTTTAAGTGTACAATTCAGTAACATTAAGTACACACACAATGTGTGCAACCATCATTACTATTTCTAGAACTTCTTCCATCATCTCAAATAGAAATTCTATACTTGATAAACTGGTTCAGTTTTCTGTGATGTATGTGGGGAGGATATGTAAAAATATGTACCCTGTGTAATATAAAAAAAAAAGTGGGGGAAATGAAATAGCATTTGAGGTATAAGATTTGAAAAGGTTTGAGAGGTGAGGGAAAGATGTAGGCTTAGGGTGAGGGCACAGCTGTTGACAGTCCCATGGTGCCTCTACATACCGTAAAAACAAGGATGTCTTCCTTTGGGCAGATGCAGCTGGTACACGAGGTACGTGGCTGGGAATGCAGAGAATAGGTTGGGTTTTTGCCCTCGCTTGCCACCTCAACCAGTCAAAAAGCTGTGAAACCAAGATATGAGGCCAGATTGCATTGATGCCTTCTTGTTCTGGGGGCGAGTTGAAAAAGAGCCCTCAGAAGTGATTTCTTGAGATGAATCTGATGTGACAAGTAATAGGGAGCCATTGGAGGTTTTCTAGCTTGGACTATAAACAAAATCAAATGGAGAAGAAACTCAGGCAGAAGACTTTCACAACTCTGCAGTTCAAAGGTGTCACTGGTGTAAACCCGTTTAGCAGAATGAAAGTTTATGCGGAACTGTCCCTTGTCTGATTATTAAACTCTGTTCTCTACTTACACTTCTAGGGAACTGAAATGGCAAAATATTTTGAATCTCTGGTCAGAAATGACCCTTTCTTTGAAATTCCTGCCAAGAGGCACCTTGGCCTGGTGGTTTTTCGTCTAAAGGTAATGCCATCTTCTGTGGCTTATGATTAATAGTATTGGCTGGTTAGCCTCTTGGAAATATAAATGCTGGGCTTCTGGGGATGCTTATTGGGGATGTAATATAGACTTCACTTTCTTTATTTTTCAAACAGGGTCCTAATTGTCTCACAGAAAGTGTATTAAAGGAATTAGCTAGAGATGGTCGTCTCTTCCTCATTCCGGCCACTATCCAGGACAAACTGATTATTCGTTTCACTGTGACATCCCAGTTCACCACCAGAGATGACATCCTGAGAGACTGGAATCTCATTCGAGATGCTGCCACTCTTATCATGAGTCAGCACTGTACTTCCCAACCTAGCCCTCAGGTTGGGAACCTCATCTCCCAAACCATGGGACCCAGAGCCTTGGCCAATGGGATGTCCCTTCAGTCTGTCAGTGGGGCCGGATATGACCCAGCCCAGGCCAGGAAGATCATCAAGCAGCCTCAACATGTGGAAGCCAGTCCTGTGAGAAAGGAAGACAGCTGCCATCTTGAAACCCTGCTGGACCCACTTGACGATGACTGCTTTTCAGAAGAGGCCCCGGATGTCACCAAGCACAAGCTGTCCTCCTTCCTGTTCAATTATTTGTCCGTGCAAAATAAGAAGAAGGCAGTGCGTTCCTTCAGTTGCAACAGCATGCCTGTGAGTGCTCAGAAGCCACTGCACACAGATGGCTCTGTGAAGGGCTCTTCTAGGGCCAGAATCTTCTCTAGGTTTCCAGAAGAAATGATGATGCTAAAGAAAAGTGCCTTCAAAAAACTAATCAAGTTTTACAGTGTCCCCAGCTTTCCCGAATGCAGCTCTCAGTGTGGGCTCCAGTTGCCCTGTTGCCCTCTGCAGGCAATGGTTTAGATCAGGGTTTTCGGCCAGAACCCAAGAATGTGTTTCAGGGAGTCTCTGAACTCCTTAAAATTGTGTGCTGAATTTGTGTGCTTATTATGTGTATGTGCATTCTTCTTAAGAGAGCCTATAATTTTATCAGATTCTCACAGAGTTTCATGACCTACAACAGGATACAAATGGGGAGTTTAAGCCAGCATGGTACAGAATGTTCTAGCAGTCTGGTCAGAGAGAAAGGACCCAAGGTAGTGTACTGACAGGCAGCTTCTGTGGTTCAGCTTGTGATATGAAATATAACATAGAAATAAATTGTACTTGTCTTTAAAAAAAATATCCTGTGTGACTTAATTGACCATTGAAACATTGATTAATTAATAAGAGATTATCCTGGAGCCTAAATGCATGTACTTATGGATTCTACTTTGCAGGATGCTAAAGATTTGGATTTAACTGTGAAAAAATGACTTTGGAGGAGCCCTTGGTATGAGGAAGGCAGGTAGTTTGAGTCAGGCACTGTGACTTCCAGTTGACAAATGAGGAAACTAAGGCTCTGGGTCACAAAAGCTTGTAAGTGGGGAAAGCCAGGTCTCCTTGTCTTCAATAATGCCCATGCCATTTCCACCATACCGTGCTGTTCAGGCTTGTACTTGATCAGAAGCTCCCAGTCTAGCAGGCCCCCGGTCCTTCAGTACATTTAAATGTTCCCTCTGTAGGTTTGGAATTTGTACATTTTCTCTTCTTCTGGACGCTGTAGTCAAATAAAAGTTGTGCTCACAGGCAACCTGACTATGGTTAATTTATATGCCAAGAACCATTTTCTTTCCATATGAGATAGCTCTGAAATTGGTTATTTTAACAGCATAAATGGTAAACAAACAAAGCTGGATACTAGTTAAAGTGGTAAGGACAGATTTTAATCAGTAATATGCTATTGCAATAGGGAAAAGAGTCCAAGATAAACTGGACTCAACTTTGATTTATACAGAGGTGACTGGGCATTTTAAAGGGAGAATGAGGGGTAGAGAAGGAGGCAAGTAGGGAGTTGGTAGAGTCAGGAAACTGAAAAATGACAAAAGGCAAGAAGACAGCATTGGTTCATGTGAAATCCATCTGGGTTTGCTAACTGGTATGCATTGAAGTTAGACTCCTACCCTCTCACAGAGGCTGGGAGACAGAGGCCCATCTTGGCCTTGTGGCCAAGGTCGACAAGATGGCTTGGAGGAACCTGGCAGGAGTCTGGTCAAGGAGATAGTCTTTGTCAAGAGTGCAGTTTCATGTTGACATTTCCTTCCAGTGATCATTCTAGTCAGCTTTCCTTGAAGGTCTGACCTGACTTCCTAAACAGAGGCTTGGAAAACTCTCACGCTAGTGCTCATCTCATCTCTTGGTCCAGAGCAGGCACCCACTAAATGCCTATTGAGTGGATGTGCAAATGAGTAACACATTAACAAATCATCTGTTAGGTAGGTCACTGCACTTGGTTAATCTTATTCATTTTTATAGTGATTCTCATTAGCTTCCATTTCAGATGCTGACATTTCTTAGTTTTATCCCCAAATTATTTGGGAGCCTATAGCATCCTATCTATGCACTGACTACGTTTCCAAACAATACATTTAAAATCAGACCTGTTGAATGATTTACACGGGTATCAGCTTATATTTTTAAAAAATATCCATTTGTACCTGATGATTTGTGCAGGTATGTCTACAGCCACAATTTGTGACCCTTTTAAAAGAGAAAAATTAGTATGTAAAATTGATGATCTGTCATGGGCTTACTTTTATGCACACACATGCGAACCCAGGTATTGAGGATATTGTGCTGGTGTCTCTATCTGTCAGAGTGGACCTGTGGTTCCTGGCCAGAATCACAGAGGTTTGGAGGAAGTGGAGGCTGAGGAAGCCATCAGGCTGTGAGAGAGAGTTTCTGAGTTTCTAACTGGAAAATGTAAAGTGTGGCTTTAAAGGTGGTCAGGCTCCAGTAGGCTCTGGTTACAGGCACACTAATGTTCTGGCTAACAGTGTAAGTGCTGGTGTCTCATCTGAGAACATGCCCTTTGAGATAACCTCTGCTTACCACCAGATCCACTGTAACATGATCACAAGTGACACAACTGCACAACGTGATACTTCCGAAAACAGAAGTCATGCTCTTTCCCATCACTTGGGTTCAATTCTCCCTGGGAGATCAATATAGCGAAGGCAGAGATACTTAGAATTTTGCAAACATTCTTAAGTGCTAACTCATAAACAACAATGTTCTAAATTATTGGCAAAATTCGCAAAGACACAAGGGTATCCAGAGTTTTCCTGAGGCCATGCTCAAGTCCCTTATACATATTAAGCACTCAGAAATGGTCATCATTGGGCATAAAGAGTGGGGGCAGGGATTCAGGTCATGAATCTTCTTGGTAGTCACTTGAAAGAATGAGAGTTTAAAAAATACTTCTAGTACTGTGTGGGGGTGAGAGCGGCAACCTCTCCTGTATCTATCATTAAGGATCCCTAGATATGTTTTCCCGGGGTCTTATGGGGATTACATTGAGGGAGAATTGGGGCCCCTTGCCAGCTCCTGGTCATCGGAGGATGTCCTTTAGGGAAGGAAACTTCACTTCTTTTAAGGAGGCTGGGGTAAACTTGGATTATACTTCCTTGACATGGACTTAGTGACCATGACATTCCTGTTTCCTAGGAAAAACTCTAGTAAACATGTCTTGATTGCTGCTACTGAGGACCTATTCCTGAAACTGTCTGTAGCTAACACATGCAGAGGTTAAGGAGTTCTGTTGAGGAAGGGAGCCAGCTGAGTGTAAGAAGAAACAGCCTGTCTGAAGGAGCTCCTTGAAGTTCCCAAACCCACCTGCATCATGTCAAAGGGCCCTGGGTCCTTAAATAAACAGGCTGTTTGATAGGAGACTGGGTGTGGAGTGAAACCAGCTCAGGTTTGAGGAGTATATGGGACTGGGGGTACTCACTGGAGATCTGGGACTTATCTGGTCCACACATCCATTTTGTTGGGTGCGTGGAAGTCTTATAAAATTTGAAACTTCACAAATTTAAAAGACTGGGAGATTCACATGAATATCTGGGTTTCTGTTTTCTAAATAATCAGATCTTGGAAGTACCTAAACTGTATTCCCACATGACAATAATCAGCCAACTGAAGCTAAGTAGTACCCTCACATTTGCCACATTCATTTGTGACCTGTTTCTCTCGTCCACATTACTCATGTGATTCCTGAAGACACTTGAGCCTACAAACCTTGATGGAGTTAAAAAATATCTACTGACACCTTCTATATATAGAATTCTGATGCTGTTGACTTAGGCTCCTTCAAAAACTATAGTTGGCATTCTCACCTGCTGGACAACGCAAATTGTAGACAGTGGCCCAGATAGGAGGGGAGAGTTGGCTTCACAGTAGAGCTGGACTGTTCATTGGTGTTCATTGGAGTTCATTGGT